TTGTCAAAAGTCCTGGGCTGCCCCCCTGCCCCTCATTAACTCTCACAATGGAATGAGGATGTTCTTGATAACCCACATCTCACTGGGTGCACACCTTGTTATGCAACCTATCTCAGCACCATACTTTTGTATATATTCATCATGAAATGCCCCTCTAGAACATCAGCATATCCCTTCTGGGAGATATGCCACAAGTTATACTTGGGTCCCTTCTGTGTACACCATGTACACAAAGGGACCCCACATGTCACATTAATGTCACCTACATACAAAACCACATACAAAGTTTTAAGGGACAGGGTAGACCAGGACGGATTATTTAACACGGGTGGTACATGCACAAGGGCATACAGGTGGAAGCCAAGTACCCAAATGAGCCACAGACACATTAGAAAGAACTTTTTCAGTGTCAGAGTAGTTAGTAAATGGAATGCACTAGGAAATAATGTGGTGGAGGCTGACTCCATACACAGTTTTAAATGTAGATATGATAGAGCTTGAGAAGCTCAGGAATCTGTACACCAGTAGACTGACTGTTGAGAGGTGGGACCAAAGAGCTGAAGCTCAACCCCCGCAAGCACAACTAGGCGAGTACATGCAGTTCCCATGGTTTATCCTACCAGTGGTCTTATGTGTGTCATTCCATATATCAGATGTGGAAGCTGCTACTAGGACACATCAGCTTAAGAAAACTACTGGCAGTTCTAAGGATGCTTTAAACTCTTTCAGGAAGATACTGGCCCAAGTAACACATTGTCCTGGTCAAAGCCCCAAAGGCTGCAATACTCCTCATCTCTTCCAAGAACTGTACATCCTCAGAAGACTGTAAAGGGTATCAAAAAGGAGATAAATCATTACAGTACATCAGGAAGCTTGTATAGAATCTCTGCCTACAGTGGGTCTTATTGCACATGGGTATCCAGGTAACAAAATTGCAGCCACGTACAAAACGCAGGCAAATCATAACATAGAACGAAAAGGCAATGTAAAGGACCTGGGTGTACTCATGTCGGAAGACCTTACCTTTAAAGAACACAATAAAGTAGCCGTCACAACTGCAAGAAAAATGACAGGTTGGATAACAAGAACTTTTCACACTAGAGATGCTATACCGATGATGATACTTTTCAAAACGCTTGTGCTCTCTAGAGTGGAGTACTGCTGCACAATGACAGCCCCTTTCAAAGCTGGAGAAATTGCTGACCTAGAGAGCGTGCAGAGATCCTTTACTGCTAGAATCCACTCAGTAAAACATCTAAATTACTGGGACCGACTAAAGAGCCTAAATCTGTACTCCCTTGAGCGCAGGCGGGAGAGATACATAATAATTTACACGTGGAAAATAATTGAGGGGCTGGTCCCAAACCTGCACACAGAAATAACACCACATGAGACCAGAAGACATGGCAGGATGTGCAGAATACCCCCGTTGAAAAGCAGAGGTGCAACAGGTACTCTGAGAGAGAACTCTATCAACATCAGAGGCCCGAGACTGTTCAACACGCTTCCACTACACATAAGGGGCATAACTGGCAAACCCCTCACAGTGTTCAAGAGAGAACTGGATAAGCACCTCCAAAGAATACCTGATCAACCAGGCTGTGACTCATACGTCAGGCTGCGAGCAGCCGCGTCTAACAGCCTGGTTGATCAGTCCAGCAACCAGGAGGCCTGGTCGACGACCGGGCCGCGGGGACACTAAGCCCCGGAAGCACCTCAAGGTAGCCTCAAGGTATGCAGTGGCATCTTGGGCACACCGTTGGGGACTGTGTAACATTACAGTACTTCTGAAAGCAAAGAAACATCTGCCAAATCTTTAGCAGGTCTGTTGGGTGCTGTGGCAAGGGCACATATTCCACAACTCTGTTTCAATCAGTTAACTGAAATCCACATGAATGCTTCTCCTTGCTCCTGGAATCATTAAAACTACCCTCTGGACATTGAGACCACCAGGTTGATGATTGGACATGCAGGCCTGTTGGTACATCTGTACCACTTGGGATGTCGAGTGCTTACTGCCAGTGCTGCATTTAGCAGAAGACAGTTGAGCAATACCTACTACAGTATATAAAATGGTCCTCATTTCTATATTGAAAGACAAGACTTCATTGTTATCTCTTCCATTTACAAATTTCCTGCCTCAATGTGCCCATTCTCCTTGACAGTAGCGGATGGAACAAAAAGTCCATCACAAAGTTTCGCAGGGGACATTACACTTCCTGCAGAGGGGTGAGGGCTCCCCAAACCAAGGATGGAGACAAATTGATTATATACATTTCCCCAGAATTCAAGATTGAGTGATGCATGTTGTCCAGAGCCATGGCTACCCCAACACACCACAATAAAGCCTTACTTATCCTGACGTCTGTGGTTGTGGTAGATAGAGAGAGAGAGAGATTTAAATAAATGTCCATGGTCTGATGCAATAGATACTACTAGATAACCAAAACAGTTTAAAACATGGCATTATTTTTATCATACTGTACAGACAAATAGTATAGCACCTCATAGGCTAGTCTCCAAATAGTCTTAACCTGGTTTCAATGTACGTTATGTACATTTCTTTGTCTAAATTATTATACATTTTTCTGGCCATCTAAACACTCTAGCAAAAGTGCTGCCCTTTTTTTCAACAAGGGGCCTACCTACAAAAATATTTAAAATACTGTACAAAAAATTCTATGTATAGAGATCAGGCTTAGTTTGGGCAATGATATAGAACCACATTCCGAAAGCCAATTAAGCCAAGCCTTCATTGTGTGTGGTGCGGGGCGACAGACAGGTGACAGGAGCATATCCCTAGTTTGAATGACTTTTTAACTGCATTTTTGTTGGGCTTCCCGAGCCCTGCCTGTTACCTTCCCTGCAGACTGGCGGCCCTCCCTCCACCCTGCCTCCAACACCCTCACCTGCTTTTACTATACATGGCTTCAATGGGCAGTGTCATGGTGATGATAAGGGTGAGTCTAGAGCAGGAGAGAGCCTCGAGGGAGCCACTTGGAAACCATACCAAACCTTCACTTCCACCAGCTGTAAATACACTTGGGCTCGTGACGTCACTCAACCTTACATCCGTCTCTGACAAGAGAGAGAGATATTGGGAGTGCCTCTTGGGAGATCGTAATTATTTTCTTACTATCGCATTTAATTATATACTTAAAATTTAGGATTTATACTGTATTGCAGCCATAAAAATAAAAGTTATTTATCTGGCCAAAAAAGGCGACCGAGTAGCAATTCAATACTTAATCTGGAAATAGTTCCCCTCAAGACGTCACAACAACATTAATCATTCACTTTAACAGTTATATTACCAAAATTACTTTTAATATAACAAAATCGAATATTTTTTACATATAAAACTTCAATACAAAAGAGTGACTTATGCAGTACCTGTGAATGTTATGAATACTGGAGGGCGTGACAGATGGCAGCACCGACGCCTCAGTGGACAATAACAAGATGGTGTGGCAGGAGTTCCTTGATCACCTCTCCCGCTCTCATGTGTCACCCCGCCCGCACTGACACCTCTCTCGTCACCAACTGTGATCCCCGGGTGTGTCTCAAGACATGGACGATACAACGGAGGGCCGTCCTTGCCGCAGTGACAACCTTCTAGAGAAAAGCGACGGAACAGCTGATGTGCGTCTGAGGGATTCCTCGTCTACTCGAAGCGGTATACATAAAGTCTCTCTTCGATTGTCATTTAAATCGGAGTCTTTTAAGGCACAGTCTCTTCTCGCTAGATTTCACAGCTCAAGAAAATCAGAGAGCGGTATTAAAGGTGAATTAAAGGCAGTTAACAGTGGCTCTGGGCTTGGAATTACCCGTGGATGGAGTCGTCAAAAACAGGGTAATAATTTTGACGTTTCGCATTGTGTTGAACTAGAGTCTGAAAATACTTCAGCAAGTCTTCCAGATGATCTTAACCAAAATTCTGACATAGTTGCAAGTGTGTGTGATCCCGTGTGTGGTATCAATGGTACAGGCCGAACAGAAAGTGATGAGCCAGGCCCAGAGAAATCTATTTCTGGGTCCATCTCAGAGGAGTCAGCCTTTTTGCCAGTGGGTGGGGAAAAGGTTACAGAAAGTTGGTTTTGCACATGGCCTGGTCGGCCGAGAAAGCTTAAAAGCTTGAGAAAAAGATTACTTACATCAGCAACAAACAATAAGCATAATTCTGAAATTGTTAATGTTTGCCAGAACCATGAGCATGGTGAAGAAAACCACGAATCATCTTGTTTATTGTCACAAAGTCTGAGTACAGATGAACATGAATCATGTCTTATAACAGAGAGCTTAGATATGAAACTAGATACAAATAAACTTGAGATGTGTTCCAAAACGCCTGACTTGACAAGTGGCCATGTCTCTCTTGATGCAATATTAGAATCATTGCCTTTAGTGTATGACCCATCAACAAAGCAATTATGCCTTGGAACTTCCAAAAAGTGTCAAAATGACTTTTCCAGCAAAAGAATGTCAAATGCTAGTATACATACCAACTGTGATAATGATGTTTCTCCAGAAAGACAAAAGTTAAATTTGGGCAAGGAATACTCAGACTTCAAGGGAAAGGATGTAGAATCTCACATAGAAGAATTATTAACAATTTCTGATACAGGTGAGGCAACGTCATTACCTAAATCATTAGAAATTATTCAAGAGGTTGATGAGAATGGTGAAACTTTAAAATTGATAGAAAAACTTACGCCGCAGTCGGGCAATGTCAGTGGAAGTTCTTCCCTGGAAAGAGGTCACTTTGAAAGTCCCAGAAACAGCCTTCAGCGAGTTGGCACAAACAATTCACTCTCTATCACAGATGCCAGTTCCTTCTCCAGTTTATCAAGTTCCAACACGGAATTATCTGCATATTCGGCTTCGGATAGTGCAGTGTGCCTTGGCTCTCACCAATCTGATGCTGGATCTCTGAGAGATTATATACTCACTGATATTGATGGCAAGACTAAGAAAAAAGGAATCACAGACTTCCTTACTCGGTAAGTACCTGTAGATGTTTTTTCAGTTGTTGGTTTTAATATCACCAGTTAAAGAAATTCAGTATAATGTTATAATACAGTACAGTACTACAGAAAAAATAAGCAGAATAATAACAGTAATGCAAAGAATTTAGCTGGGCCGGCAAAAAATAAATTCATAAGGGATCTTATGAAGATTCATCAAACGGATTAGGGAGTAGAACGGGCCATTAAAGAATAAGAAGGTTGAGTAACTATTAATGACAATGGGCTGTATTCTAAGTACAGTAAGTGTTTTGTTGCTGTATTTATCTGAAAAGAACTTGATATTTTGTCTGTAGCTAAACCAATCTTTGTAGACAAGGTGGTAAAGAGAACAAGTTGACTAATTTAGATACTGTACAGTATTATCAAGAAGAAGGTTATTAAATATAATGGAGCTCAATATGTTTCCAGAACTAGATAAACTATTTGCCTGGGTCGTCTGTGAATATAAAGTTGAGCTTATCAAGCCCATAACTTGCAGATTTAATAAATTGTCAAAGAATTAATGAATGAATGTGAAGGCTGCATCTTTAGGGTTGTTACAGTACCTTCATCTGTTACTTATTGGGGCAGAGTTATGCATGTAGGGGGGGACAAGTAGAATACCGAAATTTGCTACTTATCGTGAGGGGCTTACCACATGGGGATGGTCAGAATACTGGAATTGTGGAAGGAAGGGGAAATAGATCATGTATCAGACCACAGTATCTACACATTACCTTTCTCTCTATTGCAGGAAAAATACTTTAAAGAATATCAAGAGCCATTAGATTACACCATGAAAAATACTGTATACCAGTAAATAAATAAAGGATTCACAATATGGGTCAACCATGGGTCACTTGTGTTTAAAAATTTACCTTCATTTCTTCCTAAGATTTTTCAAGCAGGTGATAGAGTGTATCTTGGGGAAGATTAGTTGCTGGGCAAGGAAGGCCTTTATAATCGTAATAGGTAAACCGATCTATGAAAAGTGATTAGCTGTGACTAATGTTTATGTTCGAAACATAAAATTAAGACAAAATGTTCAACACAATTGTTGTGTTGACAACAAAATGTGGCCAACACAAAATGTTTATTTTGTGCAAATGAAATTTCATATTCAATATAGCTATGTAAGAGTCAAGAGGCTAAGTTATTATTTCAACAATTATTGGAGTGTTACTGTAACATGTAAGGAGAGATGAAAATGTGTGACTCGGCATCACGAAGAATGTTCATTAACCAGCCTACAGTTTCCGGTCTCGTACACTTTTATGAACTTAGGGATGTGATGAGTGGGGCTGCCCTACCAAGGTCGTCGTGTGATGAGTGGGGCTGCCCTACCAAGGTCGTCGTGTGATGAGTGGGGCTGTCCTCCCAAGGTCGTCGTGTGATGAGTGGGGCTGCCCTCCCAAGGTCGTTGTGTGATGAGTGGGGCTGTCCTCCCAAGGTCGTTGTGTGATGAGTGGGGCTGCCCTACCAAGGTCGTCATGTGATGAGTGGGGCTGCCCTCCCAAGGTCGTGTGATGAGTGGAGCTGCCCTCCCAAGGTCGTCGTGTGATGAGTGGGGCTTCCCTCCCAAGGTCGTCGTGTGATGAGCGGGGCTGCCCTCCCAAGGTCGTCGTGTGATGAGCGGGGCTGCCCTCCCAAGGTCGTCGTGTGATGAGCGGGGCTGCCCTCCCAAGGTCGTCGTGTGATGAGCGGGGCTGCCCTCCCAAGGTCGTCGTGTGATGAGCGGGGCTGCCCTCCCAAGGTCGTCGTGTGATGAGCGGGGCTGCCCTCCCAAGGTCGTCGTGTGATGAGTGGGGCTGCCCTCCCAAGGTCGTCGTGTGATGAGTGGGGCTGCCCTCCCAAGGTCGTCGTGTGATGAGTGGGGCTGCCCTCCCAAGGTCGTCGTGTGATGAGTGGGGCTGCCCTCCCAAGGTCGTCGTGTGATGAGTGGGGCTGCCCTCCCAAGGTCGTCGTGTGATGAGTGGGGCTGCCCTCCCAAGGTCGTCGTGTGATGAGTGGGGCTGCCCTCCCAAGGTCGTCGTGTGATGAGTGGGGCTGTCCTCCCAAGGTCGTCGTGTGATGAGTGGGGCTGTCCTCCCAAGGTCGTCGTGTGATGAGTGGGGCTGTCCTCCCAAGGTCGTCGTGTGATGAGTGGGGCTGTCCTCCCAAGGTCGTCGTGTGATGAGTGGGCTGTCCTCCCAAGGTCGTCGTGTGATGAGTGGGGCTGTCCTCCCAAGGTCGTCGTGTGATGAGTGGGGCTGTCCTCCCAAGGTCGTCGTGTGATGAGTGGGGCTGTCCTCCCAAGGTCGTCGTGTGATGAGTGGGGCTGTCCTCCCAAGGTCGTCGTGTGATGAGTGGGGCTGTCCTCCCAAGGTCGTCGTGTGATGAGTGGGGCTGTCCTCCCAAGGTCGTCGTGTGATGAGTGGGGCTGTCCTCCCAAGGTCGTCGTGTGATGAGTGGGGCTGTCCTCCCAAGGTCGTCGTGTGATGAGTGGGGCTGTCCTCCCAAGGTCGTCGTGTGATGAGTGGGGCTGTCCTCCCAAGGTCGTCGTGTGATGAGTGGGGCTGTCCTCCCAAGGTCGTCGTGTGATGAGTGGGGCTGTCCTCCCAAGGTCGTCGTGTGATGAGTGGGGCTGTCCTCCCAAGGTCGTCGTGTGATGAGTGGGGCTGTCCTCCCAAGGTCGTCGTGTGATGAGTGGGGCTGTCCTCCCAAGGTCGTCGTGTGATGAGTGGGGCTGTCCTCCCAAGGTCGTCGTGTGATGAGTGGGGCTGTCCTCCCAAGGTCGTCGTGTGATGAGTGGGGCTGTCCTCCCAAGGTCGTCGTGTGATGAGTGGGGCTGTCCTCCCAAGGTCGTCGTGTGATGAGTGGGGCTGTCCTCCCAAGGTCGTCGTGTGATGAGTGGGGCTGTCCTCCCTAGGTCGTCGTGTGATGAGTGGGGCTGTCCTCCCTAGGTCGTCATGTGATGAGTGGGGCTGTCCTCCCAAGGTCATCTTGTGATGAGAGGCTGTCCCCCCAAGGTCGTCGTGTGATACCTTGAGGTGCTTCCGGGGCTTAGCGTCCCCGCGGCCCGGTCGTCGACCAGGCCTCCTGGTTGCTGGACTGATCAACCAGGCTGTTGGACGCGGCTGCTCGCAGCCTGACGTATGAGTCACAGCCTGGTTGATCAGGTATCCTTTGGAGGTGCTTATCCAGTTCTCTCTTTAACACTGTGAGTGGTTTGCCAGTTATGCCCCTTATGTGTAGCGGAAGCGTGTTGAACAGTCTCGGGCCTCTGATGTTGATAGAGTTCTCTCTCTGAGTACCTGTTGCACCTCTGCTTTTCAACGGGGGTATTCTGTACATCCTGCCATGTCTTCTGGTCTCATGTGATGTTATTTCTGTGTGCAGGTTTGGGACCAGCCCCTCTAATATTTTCCACGTGTAAATTATTATGTATTTCTCCCGCCTGCGCTCTAGGGAGTACAGATTTAGGCTCTTTAGTCGGTCCCAATAGTTTAGATGTTTTACTGAGTGGATTCTAGCAGTAAAGGATCTCTGCACGCTCTCCAGGTCAGCAATTTCTCCAGCTTTGAAAGGGGCTGTCGTTGTGCAGCAGTACTCCACTCTAGAGAGCAGTGATGATTGGGGCTGCCCTCCCAAGGTCGTGTGTGATGAGCGGGGCTGCCCTCCCAAGGTCGTCTTGTGATGAGCGGGGGCCCAACACGTCAACCCACCTCACGCCCCTTACCCAATACCACACAGGTTACGGGTTGCCAGATCAAAATTGCTAAAAGTAGCGATCTGACGATTTAAAAATAGCGAACTTGTAATAAGAGTAGCCCAATTTTTATTTTAGTGACTGATACGCGTTTCTAAGTAATATATTTTGTTATATAGCTGATACCTGCTTGATGGGGTTCTATGAGTTGTTCTACTTCCTAAGCCCAGCCTGAAGCCAGGCTTGACTTGTGAGAGTTTGGATAAGTTATCCTATTATCATATTTTTTCATATATATATGCAGAGATATATTAATAAAACAATTAAACACCTAAATACCAGCACACAACCCTACAATTTCCAAGACAAACCACACTCAGACATAGACTCCCAAATCCTCACTATCCAGAACGTCGTCATACAAGCGGCTGAGGCCACCATTCCAAAGCTTGATACTCCTACACAAAACCAGATACTCCTTTCCCTCCATCAGAACCTATAGGCTACTCACCTGCTACCACAACAGATTCTCCTGCAACCTTCACAGATACGGCCAAGTAAACACAGACCTCACTATACTCAAAACCCACATACTCAACAGCCTAGACCTCGATCATGCCAACCACTGGAAGAAACTCGTACAAAAAGCTGAACTACAAAAAAAAACTTTGCAACAGTTCTGGAACTTCATCAAGAGGATCAGGGGCAACCCCTCTTTTTCTGCCTTTACATATATCACTCATAATAATCAAAACTTCACTGATCCTTCAGAAGTAGTAGACATATTGAAACAACACTGGCAGGACATCTTCAACCCTCACTCCCCCACAGCCAACAGCAAGACACATCATTAACTGAGTAGAAACATAGATTCGACTCAACCCTCAGGCCATCACACACTACTCTACCCTTGACCTCACGACACTAGACAACATACAACATGACCTCACAGCATCAATACTACTTGTAGAAGTTGAACTCATGCTCAACAGTACCCGACGAAAAGCCACAGGAGCTTCAGGCATTGGTCAAGCTCTCCTCAAACAACTTCCAGACTCCTTAGTCCTTGCACTCACAGACGTCTACAACGCCTCACTAGCATCAGGATATTTCCCAAACCCATTCAAAGAAGCCACAGCAATCCTCATCCCAAAAATCCAAAAAATCCCCAACAGACCCTAAGAACTACAGACCGATGAACCTACTAGATACACTAGGAAAAGTATACGAAAAACTTATAAATCACTAACTTAGACATCACCTAAAACACAAACATACTAACAGATAAACAATTTGGCTTCAGATA